ACAAAGAGCGGACCCCCCAAGTAGTCATAGCACGAGGGGAACTTTGCCCCCATGGTCCCTTGGCAGTTGTTACCAATTGATGATTCCTGCCTCAAGGGCAGAGTCATGTTGAAGACTGCCTACTTCATAATTTGTGTTAAGGCAAGTATATTTGTATGACTCACTAACTTTTTCTTTCTCTAAAGTAATCAGGAAATGAGATCAGTTTTAAAATAATGAACACAGCTCTATGAACACAACTTGGTGAGAACAGCTTCCCAAAACTTGGTGAAAGAGATCTGAGCTGGCCTAGCAGATGCCAGGGAACGGTAGCGATGGACAGTGAAGGGCCTTGGCAGGACAGTTCTGGGGTTCCTTTTTGCAGTTGAAATATTCTTGTTTCCTAAAGTTTTCAGAGAAGGTGTGAGATGCGATCAGAGTTATTGAAGGAGTATACATTTGGCTGGTAATGTGGCAAAAAGGAGTTAGGAGGGATAGCTCAGAGGAGATGCAGTGTGGTAAAGGGTCCTAGAAAGCAAAACCAGAATTTTAACAAAATGGCGAAAGATATCAGATCCTGTAGGAGAATAAAGAACCCAACAGGCCTCAATTAGAAATAAAGCAGAGAGAGCAGACCAGTGTGAGTAAGAAGGCAGTGGTTGGAAGGAATGCATAGAGAAGGTGCCAGAGCATTAACATGGTAGTTACTGTGGATGAGACAGCATTTAAGACCCAGGACGTCCTGCTTTCATGATTAGAATTAGAAAATTTTATTGTCTCTGGCAGGCATTCAGGCTCTTTACTTAAAAGCTTTCAGTTCCCACCAAGTTCTCAGTTCTGTGAGGTGCTGGAAAGGATTTGCCTGATGTCCTAAATGTGGTTTATTTAGCGTTTATTACCATTTCTGTACTCAAGTGCCAACTTTAAAGAAGCTGAGGTTCAGACCTATTGATGAGCAGAAGGGATGCCCTGTATTCTTCCTCTTGTCCAACCAAGCTTTTCTCTAAATGTACATACCAGGACCTGTCAAAGTTTGAACGCTTTCATATGCTCAGGGAGAGAAATTCTCTCTGTCTCTTTTCTTTCCATTCCCAGCAGTCTTAGTTCTTTAATATTTTTTTTTTCAGTTTTATCATGCAAGGACCCGTGCTAAAACCCTCTCCCTTTCTCCTGTGTCTCCCTTCCTGCCCTTAATAGAAGGCTTTCCCAGTTTTCTTAGAAATGCCTTTCCCTAACCCTTGTCTCCCTGTGCCTTTGGTCTCTCCAGTAATCATCTTGGCAGCCTGACAGCTGATTGGCAGATGAGTGTGTGGTACTACTGATCTACAGCCCCAGTTAACCCTGTCAAGGCAGCCTGTCTTAACCCTTGACTTTGATCCCTGAAGATTACAGCTGATGGCTCTGAAACTCAGTCCCAATAAAGCCAACATCTCCAGGGCTGGCAAGAAGTAATTTAGGTACTAGCTGACATTTGAACATGTTTAACTATACAGAGGTGTTTAGTCTTTAAAAAAATTATCACCTCCAACTGGCGTCACATAAATTATCCTTGTTAGCCTGCAAGAGCAGAACACCCTGCTGTCTTTGCCAAGATTCTGTGAGTCTTCTTCTGTCGCTTCCCCCACTGTACGCAACCTGTACAACTGAGAATTTTGTTTCATTTTTTGCTTTTCCAGGGTCCTAAGAAAATTTGGAAACCATTTCAGGTATTTTTATAATCCTCCAAGCCTGTGTCTCCTAGGTAACATTTTAGTGTCTTGCTTTGTACTTAAGTGCATATACAGCCATACCAATCATTGACTAATTTTAGTCTTTAACCTGAATTGGATAATGTAATGCTTTTCCCAATAAAAGCAGTATTAAACTGAAAGTTGGTTACCTATATTCTATATCCTGACTTGAGTTTCTTTTAAAATACTTTACTAAACATTTAAAAATTGGAGCAAAGCATTTAGAAGATCTCGGTTGTATGGTTTTACTTGTTCAAATCCTCTGTGATTTGTATAACCCAAGACTACCAGTGAATTTATAAGGAAAGTAAGTTTAATTAAAATGTCAGTTTTGTAAATGTAATTATTTGTTTCAGGCTCTGAAGGATTATTTTAGGCAGCTTTTTATGAAACACTGGAGGGCACTATTATTAAATTCCCATAGCAAGGGAAAGAATGTGATGAATTTGACAGAGCTGTTTGTGGAGTTTTGAATGAAAATGTGCCACATCTCCTAGAGGTGTTCAGTATGTGTCTTATAATGATGCAGGTTACCGGGAATTAGCTTCCTGGAACTGCCTTTGGATACTATCGTATTTCAAGTTGAAATGGCAAAAATGGTCATAGGGAAGGCCACAGGAGCCTAGTCAGTGGTTGTCAGCTCAGGAGAAAAATGAGCTCGGTAACTGAATCCAAGAGTAAAACACTCTTCAGGATCTCAATAGAGTGCGGGCATGTGGGAGCCAAAGTGAATCTGTTTCTTCATATATGAATTTGTTCTTCGTTGCAAGTGAGAAAGGTTCCGTTCATTGGCAGTACCTGCCGGGCAGCAGCAGCCACCGAGGCCCAGTGCCCTCCCCTGACCCCTAACGCTGGGAATCAGCCTGGCCGCTGGACTTCTAACCACTCTGGGGTCTGTCAGCCAGAATCAGAGTTTTATCACATGTAGATAGTGACTGGAATTGTTGCTCCTTCCTTGCTATTCCATTGTTCTACAAGATATTTTTAAATTCTCCCAAGTCTATAAAATATGTAGTTTAGGTTTGCTAGCATCTGTCTCCCTATTATCTGTACTTTAATAAGTTTTTCAGACTTCTTTGTTCCTCAGTTATCTTCCCTAGTGTGAGAGGGCTGAACCAGCACCAGCAACTTGAAATTTTCTTTTCTATGGAACTTTATCACATGTTCCTAGATGTCCTGGTTGATAAAGAGATTTTTTAATTGTGTTAAAAGGCACCTGATATACAGCTTACTTTTGCAATCATTTTAAAGCATATGGGTCATTGGTATTAAGTACATTTGCACTGTTGTGACAAAGAGATATTTTACGATAAAGGAAGCTAAAAGATATATGAGAATTCACATAGAAATTTTGTGTCAGAAGCAGTGCTGTACATGTATAGGAAGTATTTGTGTGGCTGGATAAAATTTTTATGAATATATGACTTCCTAGTAACTATAATAAAGGGTAATTGGGAAAAGACAGTGAAGCTCTATGTGGCTATATGTAACAGTTCGCATATGTATGTGGTTATACATGGCAAAATTCATCTTTACATTCATAGATTTAATAGTCATGCTTCAAAGTGTTTTCAAGAAACCCTACAGGTCCTTTCCTGGTTTTTCTGTGGTACAGACACGAGGTTGCTTGTCAGGACAGGAGCCCAGCAAGCTGCCCAGCACCTGTAGTTCAAAGAGGCTATTTGATGTTTTACTTCTTCCCTGAAGAGTACATCTCCAACAGCAAAAATTTGGGGGGTGTTGGGATTAAGAATACTCTGTAAAAAGAGCTAACTGTAAATATAATGTGGTGTAAGAAAAATGCTGGTTCTTATGTAGAAAATAGAAGTATAGGGTATATTACCAAAGGTAACAATAATAAGAGTAACTAATAAGAAATTTACCAGTGACTGTGATCCTCTACATTTTCAAGTTCACCTGTGCTTAATTAAGAATAACAGAGCTTGACCAGTGAAACCAGTGTAGGCACTTTTTTTAGCCCCAACTCAAAATCTTGTGGAAATAGAAGTTTAGTGTTGTAAAAAGATGGTCACATTGTGGTACTAAGATGTGTAGGAATGAATTGAGCAAAAATCAGGGATTGGTTTGAGAAATTTAGCAAGACTCCCCCAGCCCCACTGATAGTGTGGCGCTAACAAAATGGCCACTTGAGTTTCCTGCCGTCTCAGAAAGTACTTTCTTGGGAGCTGAAGGTACACCTAGGGGAGAAGGCTGAATGGACCAACCATCTCTGTCTGTCCTTTTGTGAGCACATGCATGTAATGAAGGGCAGTGGGCCTCAGTGTTTAAAGTGACTGAGGATATTCTTCTGGTCTTAAGAGAAACCAAGCTTATCTTCAAGGATACAAAGTTCCCTACAGACCTTCTTTATCAATTTTTTTTATTGCTGTACTAGTTATCACACACTTAGCAGCTTAAAACAATGTACATTAGTCATCTTACTGTTTCCAAGCATCAAGTGCCCAGGTGCTACGAGCTGGTTTTTGCCCAGGGTTTCACAAGACCGTAATCAGGGTCTCAATTGGGGTTGCATTTCTTCCTAGGGCTTAGATCCTCTTACAAGTAAATGTTACTGAGCAAAAGTAACTTATCTGAGAAGTAGTTTATTTGAAGAGGATAATTAAGATCCTACTATCTTTGTTTAAATAATATTTTTTTCTTTAGATTGAATCATCAGGGGAAGTCAGGAAACATCAGGAAAAGAGTAGAGAAAATGAAGAAATGGGGAAAGTCATACTTAGAGAAAACATTTACTTCTTAAACAACGTGTTATATTGCTTTGCATGTGGTGAAGCATGCAACCCATAATGGGACGATTTGGAGTACATTGATAAAATAGCACCAAGATACCTTGGAATTAACCACTTAACCACTTTTATCTTTTAAAAAATGAGAAAACCTGTGCAAAAGTAGCATAATAATCATGAAGATAAATATCTGAAATTGAACAGTGTTAAAGAGAATAATCCTATCATATTGTGGGTACTTAATGTAATATATCAAATACCTTCCACACCTATTAGATTGTTAAGTCCTAATTTTTATTATGCCTCAGTAAGATCTGTTTGATTTAAATATATTATCATTTATATATTCACCATAGATTTCTGCTCTCATTTCTAATTTAGTATGTAAAATACTTTTAAAATACTTAGTTTAATTAAATGATTCTGGATTATTATCTATTTAAATATTATATAATGATACTCTATTTTGTAATAAACTATATAATTGTTTTAGAATGAATGCAGCATTTAATTTTTTCATCATTTATTTTATTTATCTCATTAGCTAAGAAACCTTTCCAGCTTGGACCTACGTCATATCACTGAACTGGACAATGAAACCGTGATGGAAATTGTCAAGAGGTGCAAAAACCTCAGCTCGCTCAATCTCTGTCTGAACTGGATCATAAATGACAGGTAACAAAAATAACATCGTAAAAACAATTTTCCAGAAGAAAACGTGGGTTCTATGTACCAAATACTAATTATCATTGTAACGAGTCATGTCAATTTTAAGGAAAATTGAATGTAGCACACCTTTTCAAATAGACCTGTTTGAGTTTTGAAAACCTAAGTGTATACTTCTAACCTATCATCGCATATATTTGTAACATGGTTTTCGTGTGTTAAGATTCAAATGTTTGCCTAAAAAGTTACATCTACAGCAGTCTGTTGAATTATTTCTTTGTTACCCATCCAGGATGTTTTGTCACTTTAATATTTTTGCAACTTTTGTAGTTGATTTTACTGTCCACTTACCAAGGAAAATGATTCTTAGAAACTATTTCAAACATTACACATTACAGATCTTTTCTCAAGAATGATATGTTGTTTTCTGTATAAATATAATTTGTTTTCAAAATGAAAGTCATGTAGTGGGTAATTTAATATATAGAGCAAAGATGTGTATAACAGGTAAGTATTTTTCTCATATAAACAATAAAATCTATTTTTTGAAATATTGCATGAAAGGAAAAATGATGCAAGAACCCTTGAGATTAGACTTTTCTTATATTATGAAGACAACTGTAAAGTAGTAATACTGTATTGCTACTGACTAGTTTAGGTGGGTTCTTAAATACAGGCATGAGAGAAGATTTTTATCCCCCAAATTTTCAAGAATAAGTTTTTTTAAAGATAGGCCACCAAAAATATTTTGCTTTTGAAATAGAAAGCACTATGTAAGCTAAAATCAGAACCTATTTAGATTTAAATGTTTTTTCACAGTTAGATAGCAATAACTTATTAAGTTTGTGTCTGATAATGCTTTAATTTCAAGACACTTTTCCTTATAAAATTAGATTTATTGGAGTGCCATTGGTTAGTAAAATTATATAGGTTTCATCCCCCTCCACTTTTAATTTTTTTCTATACTTTAAAAATAAAATTAGGTTGCATCCATTTTCCCCAATTGTGATAAGTTCTGATGACATTTTTTAAAAATTTTATTTAGTTATTTTTCAAGTACAGTTTTTTGTCTATTTTTCCCATCCCAGCCTCCCCCGCCCCTTGCTCCCCACCTCCCTCCCATTTCCACCCCCCTTAGTTCTCGTCCCTGTGTCCTTCCTATTTGTTCCTCCAAATCCCTCCCCCCTTTTTCCCCTTAACTTCCCTTCCTTCTCCCCTCTGGTCACTGTCCCCTTGTTCTCTATTTCAGTGTCTTTGTTTTTTGTTTTTTCTGCTTGCTTGTTTGTTTTGTTGTTTAGCTTCCTGTTAAAGGTGAGATCATATGGTATTTGTCTTTCAGCACCTGGCCTATTTCACTCAGCATAATGCTTTCCAGTTCCATCCATGTTGTTGCAAAAGGTAGTAGCTCCTTCTTTCTCTCTGCAGCATAGAATTCCATTGTGTATATGTACCACAATTTTTCAATCCATTCATTTACTGATGGACACCTAGGTTGCTTCCAACTCTTGGCTATTGTAAATTGTGCTGCTATGAACATTGTGGTGCATAGGTTCTTTGATATTGATGTTTTAGGATTCTTAGGATATAATCCCAGCAGTGGAATTGCTGGGTCAAAAGGCAGGTCGATTTTTATTTTTCTGAGAAAATTCCATACTGTTTTCCATAATGGTTGTACCAGTCTGCAATCCCACCAACAGTGAACTAAGGACCCCTTTTCCCCACAACCTCTCCAACATTCGTTGTTTGTTGCTTTGTTTATGATAGCCATCCTGACTGGTGTAAAGTGGTATCTCATTGTGGTTTTAATTTGCATCTCTCTGATAGCTAATGATATTGAGCATCTCTTCATGTGTCTCTGAATGTTCTGTATGTCCTCCTTGGAGAAGTGTTTGTTCAAGTCCTTTTCCCATTTTGTAATTGGGTTGGGTGTCTTCTTAGAGTGGAGTCGTGTAAGTTCTTTGTATATTTTGGAGATTAAACCTTTGTCTGAGGTATCATTGGCAAATATGTTTTCCCATACAGTTGGTTGTCTTGCTAATTTAATACTGTTTTCTTTAGCCATGCAGAAGCTTTTTATTTTGATGAGATCCCATTTGTTTATTCTTTCCTTTACATTCCTTGCTCTAGGGGACATATCAGTAAAGAAGTTGCTGTGTGAAATATCTGAGATTTTCTTGGCAATGTTCTCCTCTAGGACTTTAATGGTGTCACGAATTACATTTAAGTCTTTTATCCACCTTGAATTTATTTTGATGTATGGTGTAAGTCTGTGCTCAAGTTTCATTTTTTTGCACGTAGCTGTCCAGTTCTCCCAACACCATTTGTTGAAGAGGCTATTCTTGACCCATTCGTTGTTTAATAGCATACCATTCAGTCTCCATGTTTTTGGGTGCTTTGGGTTTTTTTCTTTGGGGTCGATTTCTAATTTCAGTCCCTTGTGGTCAGAGAAGATGCTTGGTATGATTTCAATTTTCTTGAATTTTTTGAGGCTCGTTTTGTGTCCGTCATGTGGTCTATCTTTGAAAATGTTCCACGTGCATTTGAAAAGAATGTGTATTTAGCTTCTTTGGGATGAAGGGCTCTATATATATCAGTTAAGTCCATTTCATCTAGGGTGTTGTTTAATGCCACAATATCTTTGTTGACAATTTGTTTGGAAGATCTGTCCATTTTTGATAGTGGGGTGTTCAAATCCCCTACTATGATTGTGTTGCTGTCAATATCTTTCTTGAAGTCCTCTAAGATTTTCTTGATATATTTGGGTGCCCCTGTGTTTGGTGCATATATGTTTACAATGTTAATGTCTTCTTGGTGGATTCTTCCCTTCAGTATAATGAAGTGACCTTCTGGGTCTCTCTTTATGGCCTTTTTTTTGAAGTCTATTTTGTCTGATATGAGAATTGCTACCCCAGCTTTTTTTTCTTGTCCATTTGCTTGGAAAACTTGCTTCCAGCCTTTCACTTTTAGTCTGTGATGGTCTTTTGTCCTGAGGTGGGTCTCTTGTAGGCAGCATATGTGTGGGTCATGCTTTCTTATCCATTGAGCTATTCTGTGTCTTTTGATTGGAGCATTTAATCCATTTACATTTAAGGTTATTATTGATAGGTACTTATTCATTGCCATTTTTGTACCTGTGTTCCTCTCTGTCTCCCTCTTATCCTTCCTTCCCTTAAAGCAGTCCTTTTAGTATTTCTTGTAGAGCTGGTTTGGTGGAGGTGTATTCTTTTAGGGTTCTTTTGTCTTGGAAGCTCTTTATTTGGCCTTCTATCTTGATTGAGAGCCTTGCTGGGTAAAGTAGCCTTGGTTGTAGTCCTCTGGTTCTCATCACTTGGAATATTTCTTGCCATTCTCTTCTTGCTTGAAGTGTTTCCATTGAGAAGTCAGTAGCTAACCTTATTGGGGCTCCCTTGTATGTTATTTCTTTTTTCTCCCTTGCTGCCTTTAAGATTCTCTGTTTGTCTTGGAATCTTGCCATTTTGATGATGATGTGTCTTGAAGTGGGCCTCCTTGGATTCCTCTTGGTTGGGACTCTCTGTGATTCCTGGATTTGTGAGACTTTTTCTCTTATCAAATTAGGGAAATTTTCTCTCATTACTCGTTCAAATACGTTTTCTATCCCTTGTTCTTCTTCTTCTCCTTCTGGTATTCCTATTATTCGGATATTATTATGTTTCATATTGTCTTGCATTTCTCTTAATCCCTCTTCATTCTTTCTGAGCCTCTTTTCATTTTCTTGCTCTTTCTGTGAGATGCTTTCTACCTTGTCCTCCAACTCACTAATCCTATCCTCCGCTTCATCTATCCTACTTTGGAAACTTTCTACTGTGTTCTTCAATTCGGAAATTGTGTTCTTCATTTCCTCTTGTCTCTTGCTGATAGTTTCCATTTCCTTTTTGATGTTGCTGTAGTTTGCAGAGAGATCATTGTAGTTCCCCTGTAGTTTCTGGTAGTTCACTGTGAGCTCTTTGAACTTCGTAATAACCAGTGCTTTGAATTCACTATCTGATAGTTGATCAGCCTCTATTTCACCTAACATTCTTTCTGAAGTTTCTGCTTTTTCTTTCATTTGGGGATTGTTTCTTTGTCTTCCCATTGTTTGAGACTCTTCTTGTTAGTCTCTGCTTCTAAAATTGATCTGTTCTGAAACCCTGGTTTTATGGTGTAAACTTCTGTGGTATGATCCTTGTGAAGTTCAGTGGTGCAGACTCCTTGAAGTTTCTTGATGTTCTTAGTCTCCACCTACACTCATGCTGGTCCTCGCACTGGTCCCTGCGTTGGTCGCCTACCACTGCTGAATGTCCCGGCTCTAGTAGCCGCCTCCTCAAGCACCCAGGCCCGTTACTATGGCAGCGGCACAGAGGCTGGGAATGTCCCGGCTCCCGTAGTTGGCTCTCTCTGCCACCCAGGGCCATCACAGGGGTTTGGAGTGTCCCGGTTTCCGTACCTGACTCCCCGGCATTCAGTCCTGTCTCTATGGCAGCGGCACAGGGGCTGAGAACGTCCCAGTTCCCGTAGAGCACTCCTCTGCCGCCCAGGGCTGTCTCAGGGGTTTGGAGTGTCCCGGCTTCTGTACCTGACTCCCCGGCATCCAGTCCCGTCGCTATGGCAGCGGCACAGGATCTGAGAACTTCCTGGCTCCCGTAGCTGGCTCCACAAGGCCCAGGCCTGTCTCTATGTCGGCGTCACAGGGGCCTTTGGTGTCCCAGCTCCTGCAACTGACCCTTCCATTCCCCAGGCCGGTAGCTATGGCATCGGCACAAGGGCCGAGAATGTCCCCGCTCTGGTTCCTGACTCCTCTGTCTCCCAGGACCGTCACAGGGGCTTGGAGTGTCCGGCTCCCGTACCTGACTCCCCAGCTCCCAGGCCTGTTGCTCTGGCGGCAGCACAGGGGCCGCGTGAGACCCAGCTCCAGTAGCTGACTCTGCCGCCGTCTGGTGTTTCAGCGTCGGTCACAATCTCTGGTCTTTTAATTTCATAAATGCTGGGTAACCAATGGTTTATTGTGCTGT